GGTCTAATCTTCTCAGATGGAAGAAGCTGCCGGAGCAAATACGAAAAGGACGAAAATTGCAGAGTTGTTTTTTTATGTATTTAGCGAAGATGGTCGAAATGCGTGAAATAATACGACGTCGTTTCAATGGTTAGTGATAAATATTCAAAAGGAAATGTTTTTTTTTTTTTTGGTCAATCAAGAGGAATATATTTGAGATAATTTCCTTATTTTTATGACATTTCTTATGTTAGGAAACTAGATAACAAATATTTTGGGAATTTAACAATGCAATATTTTTATGCATAAATGTAAAAGAAAAAAAGATCGGATTATCTATTTCTAGTCAAGATAAGATTTTGTACCTTTATAAACTCAAATTAATCTAATGTGATTTTTTTAAAATTTTCTTTTGACATCTTTAATTTGATTATAACAAAGTTTAAGAAACTTCATGTCAAAGCAAAGAGATATGGTTTATACTTTATATGACTTTAATCTCAAGAAATAACTTAAGCTTTAGTTTTTTTCATTCATGAATCATTTATTAAGCAAAGTTAGTTGATGATTACGATAAGGAAATTTAGATAGAGGAAGAAAGAGAATGTGATCACAACAACAAGCAAAAAATTGAACAAGTAACATTGTACAAATGAAATTATTTATTCATGCAATTAAAAGAAGAGATGAATTGTGGTATATAATTAGTTTGCTATTGAACAAAGTGATTGAAAAGAAACTAACACTTGTAAAAGCCGGATTCTTTATTAAGTAATTGGTAAATAGTAGAAACAAATTCATAACTGATTATCAATTGATAGTCTTGTTCAAAAGGACAAAAACAAACGAATGAAAATAATAAGAGATATGCAAGAAACAAATAAAGCAGCACAAATGGGAATACTTTCATTCCTTTTTTCTTTTTTTTTCAGTTGGTTGATTTGCAGTTTATCTTAGACCATAAGTAAAACATAATAAAAAAATTTTTCCAACTAAAATGATTAAAAAACTACTTTTCTTTTAAATTTTTTGAACAATTTTGGCACAACTTTGTTCAGATACTGTCATTCTGCTTAATAACTACTGCTATCATTTGTGAAGGTTATACCTAAGACTATTTTGCTCCATCTAAAAGACATCAATTAAATACCTCAAGTTCTTTTCAACTTATCAAAGGAGTTTACCACCGACAATTTCATGAAAATCCTACTAGATTATTTCACGCATGCCAGTTTATATGATTTAAAATTTGCAGAAGTTTTAGCTTCAATAGTCAACATTGTTCTAGTTAACAACTTAATTGGTGAATTAAGTTCTAAAATTTTCTCAAATTGTCAAAAACAATCTCGTGAGTGGTCTTCAATTCTTTCATCATTTTGTTATAGATTCTTTTTTGCCGCATCCTTTACATAATGACATACTGAATTTCGATATGATTGCACGGAAACCAATAAAGAAAGTTTAGGAAGTCATGAGTTAGAGATATCCGGCTGAATTGCATACAATTCATAGTTTTTTGGCGGATGTTGAAATTCCATTGTGGACAAAGGATTTGAAACTAGAAAGATTGTCTGATGTGTTGACTTTTTTAGATTTAGACATGAATGCTTTCAAGACAGGAATGTTTGTGATTTTTAGGTCCATTTTACAATTCCTTGATCGAACCAACTCTCCTTTCTTGGTTTATCTTCATCCGTATGACTTGTACCGATCCACTTCGTCAATTTCGGCTTCGCAGTTTTTGATTCACCACCGTCTGAGTTCATCGACGATATCACGGCGGGAACGAGATACTTCAACCCGTAGACAAGTATGATTTTGGTGGCTATGCTTAATGGCTTTCTATGCTAATGTTGCAATATGTTGTGCATGTACTTGAGCTACTGTGTGAGAGAGCTCAAAACACTTATTCTTCTAGATTGAAACACAACAGGGAGTTGAAGCTAGATGATGTTATCGTTGACTGTTTTGGGATGATGTGTGAGAATATTTTCTTTCAAAACGATAGAAACACAATATAAAACATTTTTTTCTTGTTAATGAGAGCTTCTCCTTTTGATAAAAATGAAAATATACTTAATGATTTGATTGCTGCTTAGTGCACATGTCCACATCATCACTATTGCTTGAAGATTTCGAAACATTCGAAACAGATGGATGTGTAATCTTCCAAGTTCTTGGAGGTGATAATTAATCATTAAATCGGAGTGGTACCAACCTAATTTAACCGGTAAATTCCTCTGGCTACATATCACGCATGCATGTATTCTATATTCGGAGAGGTTCACCAAACGATACTGTATTTGACACCCTTCCATTTAACCGTAGCCATGGAAAAATATGACGGTATTACCATCCACTGCCACACATGCCACTCTCGTCGCTGCTGGCGAACAGAATGGTTACTCAATACGGTGCCGCTTAGATGAAAAAGTAGACGACTCCATTTCATTAAATTATGGTGGCACTCTATTGATGTCTAGTGTTATAAATTCGTTAGTCATTATGCTTACTTAATGTTGTAACATCTAAATTGAAGAATTAATTTACTCGGTTGTATTATAGCCAGGAGCGGAGGCAGTGAGATTTGTCCATCATGAAATTTTCAAAACTAGTGTAATTCTTTAAGGAATTTTAAAAATGTCCCTCTTGATATGTTATTTTATGGTGTTTTTTTTTATAGTTTTTTACTTTTACCCCAGATGAAAATATTTTCTACATCCGCCACTGATTATAGCCGTATAAATGAGAAAAATAACAAGTGTTGATATTAAAACTAAACGTTAGTCTTAACATGTTCAC